GCTGCTTGTCATTAATTTATACTTATTTAAATTTTATATTCACCATGTATACATGTATATTTAGGATACTGACTAGGTCCAGAATTTTATATCAAAATTTTAGATTAATCAAAATAAAAGCACAATTTTGAAATAAAAATCAAATGTGTAATCAGTGTTTACCTTTTCAAACCATGAAACGCAACATGTGAAATAGAAATACTTTTTTGGTGCATGTTGTTGCACACAGTGTGATATATATAGATATATATAGATATAGATAGATATAGATATATATAGATATATATAGATATAGCAAGTGCCTGGGTGAACTTTTGATTAAAGGATCGTACCTCCTGGTATTTTGAAAATTTTATCAAACAGCTTTTATCTAATTTACAAATTGAATTCCTGTTATTTTGTGTTCTGTCACAATCATTTGCTATAATATTAACATCTATTAAATTTTCTGTAACCTTCTCCCAATACTTTCATGTTAATAAAGCCATTGCAAATTACCACTAATGCACATTTATGCGCATTTTGTTAAATAGGAATCTGTGAACTATTCCTTTAAAATACAAACCAGTATCTTAGCAAAATTCACCTGGGGGGGGGGGGGTTTAACAAATATTGACTTCCTTATGTGCTTGCGAAAGGACAGTGATGCATCAAATTAGGCAGGCAACTTTTGCTAAGTGGCTTTGATGAGCGATACCACTGTTCAACAGTTTGACCAACAGAAAAAACCTTTTCATATTTTTTCGAAATTTCCATAAACTGTAGCCTACAGGCAGTTCAGTCTATTAGGTCTAAAATAATAAAATAAACATGGGGGGGGGGGGGGTTAAGGCAAATTTTGCACCAAAATTGTTCCCGGGAAAGATCAAAAAGTTAAAATCTGGACTTTGCGAGATTAACAGTGCATATAACCACCAGCAACTTTTAGTAAATCTCTTTCCCTGAACCAAGTAATTATTTATAGGTGTAGGAAAGAAGCCCATGTTATTACAGTCAGTCACTTGTTATTTATACTGCTGGTATTTTATCAAAACAAAATAGCCTCCATAGCATAAAGCATTTTTGTGATGAAATTTAAATAAAATATATATTATAGACATGATTGCCAATATTTATTACTTTGTGTTAATTTTACAATGATTTATTTATTTTTACTTCCCAACTCGTTGGTTTTTGAGTACAGTTAATATTCAAGTTTATCACATGTACAGTCGACCCTGCGATAACCTTTTCACTACCAGTTCCCTCTTTTCCATCACAGTTCATAGAATAGTCCTATTTATAGTCGGGTATTTCCATCAGAAAATTGGAACAATAGCTGAATTTATTTGATAAAAACTGAAAAATAACTCAAATTTAGTCTGTTGGTTACAAAATTAGGGTTCATTTCCAGAAATATTGAATATTAGAAAAAAAAAAGTGCTGACAAATTTTGACGAGTCTGGTGGTGAAGGTTAATGATCTCCATATAAAGACCACCTGCATATAGCGACCACTTTAGGCCAGATCATTTCTGGATACCAAACTTATTTGATGTTCTATCCAAATAAATGTTGCAACAGTACCATTTAAATATTTTCTTGACAAATATTATGTTCAATGTATGAAGTGGCGATTCCATGAAAAAAAAAAAGCAACCTCCACATACGACCATTTTAATGAAGTCCCTTGGGTGATCATTATACACAGGTTTGAATGTAATATGCATCTTCCATGAGATGCAGGTACTTTTGATTTCCAATCTCTGTTCCGCATCAGAATTTTGATCTTATCTTTGCATGTATCTCAAAATTGTGTCATCATATTCAGGTTTCTTCCAAAAAATGAGCTGTAAAAATATACTGTAAAACACGCCTTTTTAGCTAGCATGTTATTTTAGCTATTCTGTAATTTCGCTAATTCAAGTTGTAACTAATTTAAAATAAAGTATATTCTCACAATGAGATTGTTGGCACTTTAGCTAAATTAAGATTCAGTTAATTCATGCATGGAGTCAAATTTGCTAAAATGGCATGTAGCTATTTGAAGTTGACACACCACGCATACACATGCATGTACCGTTATGCTATACCTCTTTAGATGGCTCCCATTAGAAGATTTATTTAAAAAATGTATTTATTTGTTCATTTATTTCCTTAGTTCAATTGCAATTCATCTACCGGTGAT